CTCTTAATTCTGAGCAGAATTAATTGCTGCATCAAAACCAAGATAAATCAGAGCCAGCTGTGAAATGATCCATATAATAGACTAATACTTCAATTCAAAAAGAGAACTGGAGCAATAAGGTCTTCCTTTCTTGGAGAGTTAATACATTAGACTGTCATGGTAATCACTAATTACACATCCTGTAAAGTTGGGTATAATCAGTTACACATAGTTTGTAGTAAAATGTTTTGGAATAAAAGACTGAGTCTTATCTGATTTCATTTATATGAGAAATTGCTTTGGTTATTACTAAGATTTTTGTTTCTTGTGGAACTTGAAAATTATCAGTACTTGATACAAATTTATCTGGCCAAAATTGTCAACTGTCACCATTTTTGCGTGCGGAAAAAGCTGGTCAATTGTGTAACACGGGAATCTATACTACTCCAGATTGTCAGATTATGTCAATTCAGATTAGTCTGCCCTCAGGTTTGGCATTGGTTAAAAAGAAGGGCGTTCACGGCATCGGTCGATATCCTCGCAATAGGTAAAGACCTTTTTTTTCGTCTGCAGCTTTTGATAGCACGGCTCATAAATTTTGTAGGAATGTTGTGTGGTCCTGAGGAGCATTAATGAAGACAGGAGCGACAGGGGCTTTGGTGTGGTTCTGACCTGAAGACCTCATCTGTCTCCTCTGATCTCTCTGATGTAGGTTGAGGAGGAATCTGAAGTAACGGCAGAAGTAAGTTCAGTTCTAAAAGCCAGAAGTTACAGGATGTGAAGATTTGGCCATTACTGGATTTTTTTTTTTTTTTCCCCTCAAAGCTTACAAAGAAGGGTATTGGCGTCTCTTTGGATATGTTACCTGTGTCTTTGTAATCTCAAAACCAGACAGAATGAAGTATGTTGAATTTAACGCTGCCCTTTAAGGGGCACCCATTCAGAAAAATAAGGTGACTGCCTATGTATTTAGAAGTAATGCTTTGTATTAAAAGCATGTAAAACTATCAGCACTCGGTAGGCTAAACTGGTTGCCTATTTTGTAAACTTCCTCAAGAAAGGAGCTGTTTTTAACCAGTGTCTTACCTAGTTTGTGACCCGAATTACCCGAGTGGCTGCTGCTTTCCATATGCGATACTCTTAACAGTCATGCAGAGGCATGCTTGTAGTCTCTTACTTCAAGAAGAAAGGAGCGATTAGCACATGACTTTTGAGAAGATCTGTAGTCCTAAAAAATAATTTCCATCATTTGGATTTTTCCACGTTCTGGTGAATAACGTGGAATAGTTAGGAAAGAAAGCACAGGAAGATTAATGAAGTCTATGCTGATTAAATTTTGGATTGGGAGTCTTACACGTTAATTTGACTTCAAATTCTGTTTTAAGTGAGTGGGACTGGAGTTTGGCTGCTTTGCATGAGTTTGAGTAATTAAGTGAACACTCAAGACTTCCAATATAGGAAAATTCCAAACGTACAGATAAGGAAAGGAAAAGCCAGATTGTAAATTGCCCCTGGAATAAAACCTTTCCTAATGGAGTTTCTGTGTGTGAATGTCAGCTCAGCGTCCTATGCTTGAGACCCTCCTTGAAATAAGAAAGGAATTTTTCATGAATAAGGAAATCAGGATCTGTCTTTTTTCATTCAATGTTTTGTGTATTTTTGTTATCGTTTATGTCTTACTGCCCTTCGATAAAGATAATTCAAATAAATTTAACTCCTGCGTGCATTCTCTCCTTGAGTAACAAGATCTTTATCTTCATTATAGAGAAAGAGATTTCCAAAACTAAGGCAGTAGATGAGTGGTACTATAACCCGGAGGTGCCACTTGCTTCTGGTAAAGCTAGTGAGTCATTTGCCTTCAAAACAAGCAAATACAAAACAATAAATAAAGCTCTGATGTGTAGCTGTCGTTTTTAGTCCATTACTGAAATTAGTATTAACCGAGCGTGATACTTCTTGTTTTAGCTGTCGTCATCGATGATACTCAGGTCGAGGAAGACAGAAAAGCATACGTTAAAAAAAGGTGCTTCTTGTTTAGGCAATTCCCGGAGAAGAATGTCAGCACTTTGGCTAAGCGTGGTTTGAAGCGGCAGCTGCTGGGTTACTGACTCAATGCGGTGCACCGGGAAGTCGCCTCCTGATCTTTATGGCGTGGCGTTATCTTTCCACCTTACGCTTCCCTCTGCCTGACACACACCCATTTGAAAACATTTAATGGATTGTTAGTATTTTTCAATGTGGGTTACGCTGTGCAAGCCGTTTAGAGCGTGACTTATTTTTTGTAGGTTCTGAGTATTTCTGGCTTTAAGATTTTAGTTTCTTGTACATTAAATAAAATATTTAAGACCTGAATGAATTATTCCCTGTACCGAGTGGGCCATGGGGTTTCACGCAGAGAATCCTGCAGCCAAGCAACTCCCGTCTAGCTAAAGCAAACCCCTATCAAAGTCTTCCACTGGTGAAACAGCAAAGTGGGTCTCGGTCTCTCCGGATCTAATCTGCCTCTCACGTTTTACATTCTGTAGTAGCCTGGCTACATCCCAGCTGCATACCTGTGTGTTTAGTCCCGTTCTTTGGCCTGCTCTAAACCCCTGCATTTTAAGTCCGCAGTTCCCCTTGAGTGCAATCATTCACGCTGTCATTCCATGCATAAAGATTCACGCTTCTCCGGCTCCGGCAAAGCCAGCCCTTGCCCTGCCCGGCTCCCGCTCTGCTCGCTTGCCCTGGCCGCGGCAGCGCGCTTCTCACGTGGCTGCTAGCGAGGGAAAACCGTGAGCCGCATCTCCTGGGGTTCTCGTCCTTCACCCTGGCTTTCCTTTCTCTTTCCTTAGAGTGAGAACGGCCGAGCTAATGGAGACCCTTTCAAGTTGGACACCTTTCTTGTGATCTACAGTGGGATAGTTTAGAAGTATTTCCTTAAATATTTGTGGGTGTGAAATGGAATTATGGTGGGATCTCAGTGTCTCTAAGTCTTTAAAAAAACCCTCAATACTTAGTTTAAAATATTTGGATTTATGACTGTGGATAGGAAAATCTAGCGAGAGGATAATTTTAAAGGGGGGGTAAGAGAGAGCATTGGAACTTTTTGATTGTTTTATGGTTGTTAGTGAAAATGTTCCTCAGAAATTGTAATTCAAAATGGAGTTTTGATTCAGACAGCTAAACTGCCTGACATTGTAAATGAGCTGACATTCACACAGAGAAACTCCATTAGGAAAGGTTTTATTCCAGGGGCAACTGTCTTTTTGGAAGCTAAACTACTTTGATCGGCAAATTTGGAAGGAGAGATGAAATTTAAAATGCTTGTCCTATCTTCTTCTTCAATGTTGAAATCTTTCTTACAGCATACAGGAGAGGCACTGATGTGTTCTGGTATTCCAGTATTCAGAAGCAGCTCTACCTTTAACAATTCAGAAAATACAATAAAAAGCATTTTGCTACACTGTAATATAACACAGTTAACATAACTGCGGAATATGCTGCGGTCCTACAATACACTAACAACATGGCATTTGAAGCCAGGGGAAAAAGGTATTTAATTGGAAATTTTCAAAATATGTTTGGATTTGGAATGCACTCCCGTTACGAAATGTTGAGTTTTCCCCATGGAGCAGAAGTTCTGAATTTCAACCTATTTCGACTCTTCCGTGGCTGTGTCTCGCCTTTGATTTGCTCCCAAGCTACAGCTGGCATCGGTGGGACCTGGTCAGGTACAGCCCGTGTGCGGCTTTGCACCCTGACTGTTTTACTCGGACGAGCGACAGTTCTGCTGGTCCGTCAGTAGTACCAATACCCCCGCTTCACCTTACCAGCAGACAAACATACTTGTTATGTCCTTATACAGAAAGGGGAAAGGGAGAAGATGAACAAATTGGAAAGAAATACCATGAATGTTCATGCTGAATTGTTGCTGTAAAACCAGAAAATAATTTGACGTGCAGGGAGCAAAGTGTACCTGGATAAGCATCACTCTGTCTCCAGTAGAACTTTTTCTTACCTAAATCACAGTGGAAATCTGGCTCTTCTGTGACCCTGACATTGCTCAGATTTGAAATAGACTGTGGAAGGTAAGGCAGGAAAGTAATTCTCAGACATTCAGCTGGGGAAGAGGAAAAAACAGCTGCAGCGGCTTGTTACGGCTTTAGATTTAAATACAAGTTGCTACAAGAAGATAATCACTGGATCTCTTTGTGGCTACCACAGAGGACGAGCCTTCTGGTGGGAGAAAGTCTCGATGGGGCAAAGAGCAACGATCTCTACCTTTATATCTGTTTGGGCTTTCTTTTAATATGTCTAAAGCACCTCCTCTTCGGTAACTGTTAGCAGCCAGGGTTGTCTCTCCAAACCCCGCTCACGAATCTCACTCTGCAATCTCTCTAACCGCGCTCTGCGGCAAAGCTGGATTGGGAGTTGCCAAAAGGTGGTAGTGGGGGTTCCACCACTTCTCTTCCAACTCCTTCCACTGGATTTCCTGCACTGCGGCTGAACTTTGTGTGTGTACAACGGGAAAGTCAAAAAAATACGTAATGTTGTGTCATTAATTGCATTAGAGCAGGGAAGAAGGGCACAGCGCTCACATCTGCTAATTTAGGGTGGCTGGGAAGTCTCAGGCAGTTCGGACACCTACCGTTAAGTCCTCTATCGTTGACCCATATTAACATCGCTGAGGGTCCCATAGTCTACTTAAAAGTCCTTTTGGAGTGGACATTTCTTGGGCAGGCAGACCTAGGACACCTCCTTGGGGTACGGGAGAGCTGATCCCCAGACTCGTGTGCTGGACCTAGTCGGCACACATTTGGCAATTACAGAACGAAAGAGGAGCCCCAGGGGAACGGGGGCTGGAAGGCAGGTCTCCCTGCTCCCCAGGGAGCCCGGGATCGGTTCTCCCCTATCACACCACCATGTCAAGTGAGGGTGTTTTCAGTGCAAGATTAAGGACGTGTTCAAGAACTGCTTGTTTGAGCCCCAGAGGCTAGCTGAGTGAATTTCTAAGAGGTTTGAGCTGCAGAAAGGTTTCGGCAATGCTCACTCGTGCCAGAGGCAGACCTGGAAACCTCGGGGCTGAAACGTGGGGTGGGATGCAAGGTTGGCTCAGCAGGGCTGCTTGGAGGTGCCTCTGCCGTCCTCCAGGGAGCCGCAGCCTTCATTCTTCTGGGCAACAGGAGGCTGAAGGATGGTGCGAGGTGCGGGTGAAGCCCATAATCATGGCCTTGTCAGTACTGACAGAGTACCTTTTGTCAGAGTAACTCCTGATGGAAGCAGGGAAACCCCTACTCAGGCAGCCAGCGCCAGGCAAGGGTAAATGTTGAGGCACAGTTTCGGGTTTACTAATTAAATTCATCTCCCTTAAATTTAAGCAGCCCGATAGCATCCCATGCCATTCAGCCCTCTCCATCTTGGCGGAGGTGGCTCCGCGGGGCCATGGATACCACCCCGAGGGCAAGAAGGCCGGCGGGGCC